ATAGAATTGTGTATGTCATAACAGAGGCTCAAAACATAAACAGGTAAACAAATATGTTATTAAACCTGTAATTGAGATAAATTATCTAGGTACTTCTCTGACGTATACCATATTGTGCCTTAAGAGCTCATCCCGCGATATCACAACTACATAAAAAGGCACCCCGTGGAGGCTTCTTACACTCACACTTAAAAAAGTTTGCTATAATCAATTGTACCTAATGAAGAAAGGTATAATGTCAACATTGTAATTTTCTGCTACATATATATATATTGGGACGATCTTCACCTGTTCCATTCAGTTCATCTCTCTTAGCGTTTCAAGTTAAAAAGCAAGTAGTTTTTTACGATGGATAACAATTTCAAGTGTTGTAAACCTCCACCTAAATCAATTTCAAAGCATGACACAGTAGCAGTTCAGTTGTTTATCTCAAAATTATTAGAATTTTTAAAGTTGCAAATAACAGTCCAAAAGTGTATTTTTATGTCAGATGGAGCAGCATCACAATACAAAAACATAAAAAATTTTGCTAGCATTTGTGGATTTAAAGATAAGCATACTGTAGAAATTGAATGGCATTTTTTTTGCAACTTCACACGGCAAAGGTCATTGTGATGCGATTGGCGGTACCCTTAAGAGAATGGCAACCAGAGCAAGTTTAGTTAAGCAACACGAGCACCCTTTAACGAACCCTTAACAACTGTACGACTGGGCAAATAGTCGTAAAGAAGATCTTCAAACAAAAATGTCATTTTGTTATGTTTCTACGGAAGAATACAAAAAAGCTGACACGGAATTTGATCCAATTTTTAAGAAAGTGAAACCAATTCCTGGAACTCGAAAATATCATTGCTATATTCCAGTTTCAAACAACCAAATTGCAGTAAAAATATTCTCTAATTCTAACGATACACCCAAATTATTCAATGTATTCAAATAATATGAGTTGTAAAATAAAATAATAAATATATACTGTTTTTTATCTCAACAAATCTTTCATTTGACCACATCAACGTGCTTCTCTTCCGCTGCCTCTAGATAGAAACGGGTAAGTCTGACAGCTACCATATCTGAGAATGAATTGTTTGTTTTTTAATATACAATCATGAAATAAAATCTCGTTGCTGGACATCTCGACGAACATTTGAAAATGGCCTAAAATGTTGAAAATTGTTATAATTATATTTTTTTAATTTGCATTAACTTGAGAACGGCTGGACTTAGGAAAAAAGTTTCTATATGCAAAGTTATCGAAAATTATGCGTAGAATCCAAATAAATTGTTATTTTTCAAAAAAATATGCATTTTCATCAACTTGTAAAAATCAACAAAAATTTAAAAAATTATAGATTTCTTTTTAAGGAAGTTACCAGCATACATTTTTCACGAAATTCAAGGGTATTCCATCAATTTTCTTGAAAAAAAAAATTATAAAGATCGAAGGGGGGGTGTTTTGAGATAATCATCGTTTTACGTTTTTTAAATACTAATTTACGAAGTTTTTTCTTTCAGTGTATTTTTTCCGCAAAAATAATTTAATTACCTAAAACTTCTTCTCATATGCCGTTTTGATCAGATCAATAGTTTTCAAGTTATGATTTTTTGAATAAAAAATAATCAATTTTTTTATACGCCCTTTTCAAAAGTTACTCTGGAGGAAAAAATCATATTTAAATGAAAAATGCAACCATTAGTAGCAGCGAACACGTGAGCAATGTTTCATTCAAATCAGAAGGGGTCGAGACAAAATTGACATTTTTTTTAACGATTTGAGCTAGAAATGCTCTATAATTAGATTTGCAGTGCAAAACAAATTGGAACATCGGCTAAAAGAATGCAGGGTGGGAACTGAACCAGGAAAACCGGGAGAATCGGGAATAGCCCTATAATCTTGAACAGTTTTCTATGATCAGGATCTTTAAATTTGTTCTCAACTGAAGAATCCTGTATGTTTAATTTCTGTGTCCGGAATATAAAACTTAACTGTATAATTTCTTTGAAACTTGTATCAGGATATCTTTGAAAATTGTTCATGGATTTTGTTGCGACAACCACTGGGTCGTCACCGGGCGATTGTGCGACTTGACCGAATGACAGATCGAATCAGGACCTTTAAAATTGAAAACAGCAATCAGAAGTGTTTTTTCTTAGAACTACGGTAACTTTAAACACAATGTGAAGTTTACCTGCTTGTGGAATTATTCAATATTAATATAAACCTGCTCTGCCTTAAATTAGTACTAGAATAGTGTTCTGGATTAGGATTATCTAAGCATTAGAAATCCGTAAGTCTTTTCCATTATTGAATTCAGAATTTGATCTAATTACAGGGTGGCAGGTGAACCAGGAAAACCAGGAAAACCGGGAAAAAGTCGGGAATTTATTTTCACCAGGAAAAACCGGGGAAAACCAGGAATTTCATAAGTCCACCAGGAAAATAATCTTGTTTGTATAATTTAAATGGGTTTTAAATTTTATGTATGTCGAAGTTCCTTTTTTATAATCAGGTCAAAACTAACCATTTTGTTCAAGCTTAATCTTTCACACAACTAAACATTGATGAAAAAAATTTACCCTGAGAATTTAGTAAATATATTTTGTATTTACTTTTAATTTAATTATTTTCTCGAATCAATTGCATGTATGATTTGTGCATAATTGATAGCAGACTTAAGCAGTGCCGACGCGTAACTACTTTGAAGTACCTGTTCAACATGTTCAATCAAAAAGTTTTATTTCTAAAAACTTCAGATAAGGCCTTCGAACTTCATGCAAGTTCTACAAAATTCGGGAAAGTCTTACAAGTTTCAGGAAAATCCTGTGAACTATTCTGATTACCTACGACGGTCAGGAAATCTCTTCGAACCTTCAGAGAAGTCTTACGAACTTCAGGGAAGTCCTTTGCTCTTTCGGGAATAACTATGAATTTTACAAATTTTTTTACAGATTTAATGTAACTTCTAAGACATTTAGGTATTGCCTAAAACTGAAACTATGACAGTTATGGATTTTTTAAACTATGACACTTTTGGATTTTTTTTTCCGAATTTCAGAGAAGTCTTCAATATTCTTGGGAATTCCTCTGAACTTAACATAGTTCTCCAAGCTCAAAAAACTTTCTAGAACTTCTGAGAAGTCGATTGAACTACAGGTAGTCCTACGAAATTCATGGGAGCTCTCCAAACTTCAGGGAATTTCCAAGAAATTAAGGAAAGACCCACAAACTTTTGGAAAACCCTTCGATATTTAAAGCCTTATGAACTTCAGGGAAGCTCTTCTAAATTTAGGGTCTTCATATATTCAGTTAAGTCCTTCAAACTTCAGGGAAGTCCTCAGATCTTCGAGAAAGTTCTTCGAACTTGAAGGAAGTCTTACGAACTTCCGAGAATTTCTGCGAACTTCGTGGTACTTCTACGATATTTAAGAAATTACTATGAATTTCAAAAAACTCCGAACTTCAGGGAAATCCTAAGATCTTAAAAAAAGTCCTTGGAACTTCGGGGAAGTCCCATAAAATTCAGGCAATACAAACTTCAATGAACCCTTCTGGAAAGACCTTAACGCTTCAGGGAAGTTCTACGAACTTTAGGGAGTTTCTATGAACTTCAGCAGTCAGTCTTTTTAATAATAAGAGTTATTAAACCAGCGTTGTTTATGAAATCTTTTAATCATATGATTTTGAAATCATGTTGTAATCAAAATTCCGCTAAATAATCTGGAAATCCGTAAAATTGTTAGAAGCAAAGGTTTGTTTAAAGAGTCCTCATTCATATCACACTTCGCAATTTCACCTTGAGATAAACTAGCCTGTTGGCTAAAAATCTCAATAATAAAGTTGAAAAAATCGCTGTTTCAAAAACAGAAATCCTAAAATTTAGGGTCTTATAGATCTCTTAACTTCAGACATTAGATAGGGCTCCGCGCTAGTCCGTCACCACTAAAATCGCTCATTTTACGGGTTATCGCAAATGTTTCGGTGTCAATCGTAATTAATCTTGTAAGTAAAGATGCTTTTGCAAAAACATGAGTGAAAACGCTTTGCTATTGTAGTTTTAGCACATAGAACGGAAATAGGCGCCATGATACGACGAAGTAGCGCGGCTCCCTACTAGCTTCTTTACAGCAAACAATCAGATAAAGATTTCACGGGCATTCATAAGAACCTTAATACCTATTTTGGTTTGTGAAATTCCGCATTGGGCGAAGAATGATGGTACAAGGATTCACTTTATTTTTTCTATTAAAAATTGTATTTAAATATGGTTTTTAAAACCAGGAAATTTTCAAATCATTGACCAGGAAAACCAGGAAAAACCAGGAATTTCAAAATGGAAATTCACTTGCCACCCCGTAATTAGCTTCTTAATCTAGATTCACCATTAACTAAATCTAAAGTAGAAAATCAAATGATTGGAATCTGAATGCGTTATTCTAATACTGAAATGTAAGTACATTAGATACCTACATATTGATAACATTAAAACCTAAATAAATTTGCAACTTTGAAGCTGTCAGCAACAGCTAGCAGAATTTTAGTGTTTCGCTTCCAAATTATCGCAACAGATTTCTTCAGGATCGTTTCAGAACACTTAAGGAATTCCCTTGAGAAAACCGTTGAAATTAACCCTACATTTATCTTTACATTCTAAAAGCTCTCGCGAGGATTCACTTTAACTTCTCTCGATTATGTTCTCTCCAATTCGCTTGGAATTATCCTGGGAATATATTGGTATGCCATTTAGAATGTAGAAAGGTTTTATCCCAAAATTTGTCCAGTAACGCTTCGTAGATTACCTTTTCGTGGTGCGTTGCTGGCATTAAGCTCTACCACCGAAGCCTGGTTCGAACTACTTCAAACTAGGGGAACAGAATTGTTTGCTAATCAAAGGAACACATCTTAGTCCTTTTTACTTTGTATGCCTTGTTGATAGTGAAAAGACTCGGCTTTGTCCACCGAGAATGATCTTGAAACAAGGAAAAAATGAGTTAGGTAGTTAAAGGGTGTCCACGATGAAATTGCCACACTATGAAATTGCTCTAACTTTTTAACCGTTGGGTAGAATTTAATGAAAATTTGGGTGGATTTAGTTCATAGTGCATTATTTACATCCTTTTTTTTTAAAGTTCTGTGATCAAAACTCGCGGAAATGGAGTCGAAAGAACAGCTCGTGCGTGATAAAATCTTGCGCATTCATCACGAGAACAAGGATCTCTCGCATCGTTCCATCGCTAAAACGTTGGGAATCGCGAATTCCACGGTGTCGCGAGTGATTAAGCGGTTCGAGGAACGGTTGACCACCGATCGGAAGCCCAGAAGTGAAGGAAAAAGTATTCCGTACAACACCAAAAATCACAACCGCGTAGTTGGGGCCTTCAATCGAAATCCGAACGCCTCCGTTAGGGATGTGGCTAAGAAGCTGCACCTAAGCCGAAGTTTTGTCCAGAAGGCCAAAACTAAGGCTGGGCTTCGAACGTTCAAGGTACAAAAGGCCCCTAATCGCGACGAGAAGCAGAACAAGTCCGCCAAAACCCGTGCCAGGAAGTTGTACCTCAACATGCTGACGAAAGTTGAATGCTGCATCATGGAGGACGAAACATATGTGAAGGCCGACTTCAAACAGATCCCCGGCAACCTGTTTTTCACGGCCAAGGATAAGTTCAGCGTTCCGGAGCATGTCCGCACTCAGGAGATGTCCAAATTTGCGAAGAAATTCCTGGTTTGGCAAGCCATCTGCACGTGCGGGAAGCGGAGTGCACCTTTCGTGACCCAGGACACGATGAACGGACAGGTGTACATAAAAGAGTGCCTCCAGAAGCGGCTGCTTCCTCTCCTGAAGGCCCACAACGTCCCAACAATCTTCTGGCCGGATTTGGCCTCATGCCACTACTCCAAGGACGGACAATAAGGTCAATTTCGTGCCGAAAATGTTCAACCCTCCCAACACTCCGGAGCTCCGCCCCATCGAGAAGTACTGGGCGATTATGAAGCAGCACCTTCTTAAACGACCTAAGGTAGTGAATACAGTCGAGGAACTGAAGAAAGTATGGGTTTACATGCAAAAAACGGTTGATTCACAGGTTGTGCAGAATCTTATGGCCGGGGTTAAGGCCAAGGTGCGGGCATTTGCGTATGGACTGTAAATAAAATACGAGTAAAATGGTAAAATGAAGTTTAATAGTTATTTCTCAATCCCTGAAAATTTGATGGCAATCGGATGAAAACTCGAATTTTGCGAATCAATTTTGTGTGTGGCAATTTCATCGTGGACACCCTTTATTCTTCATCTACGTGATTCCTAATCTTTTATTCGCTGTTCTCTAGTTTGAAGTGGTTAAGACTAGGATTCTGATGCATGGTTATTATCGGAGTCATTGCTTGATTTTGTTGCTAAGGAATCCGTTTTTGACTGCAAAGGGGGCGCGCCTTTGGAGGGTGTTCCAACACTCCAAAGGGTTTAAAGAACGGGACCTTAGGGTTGATGCATATATTATGTCACGCTCTAAGGGGGGGAGGGGGGTCTAAGATTTTGTGACAAGCAATGCATTAGGTATAGGAAAAACGTCACGATAGGGGGGAGGGGGTAATTTTTTGCTCGATTGAGCGTGACATTATTAATGCATGGGCCCTTACAATTAAAGTCGGATCCTTGCGATAAAGGCAAGAATGACAACTGTATAAAAACCGATTACTTCTTCATTTCTCAATTGTGATGGAGTAATACGACATGCACTAAACAAAGGAGACGGGGTATACCACAATAGATCAAATTACTGGTCGCAGTAGTGTTAGGTCCCGAACAGAGGAAAAAAAAAATTTAAAGATTTCCTCGAATATTTATAATTCCATCGAAATTTTCGCCAGAATTTCCTTGAAATGCTCTTGCAAAAGACTTCTTGGAATTTTCTTGTAATCTTCATGAAACTCTCCTTCATAATCTCCCAGAACTCAGAGTTTCTTTGGAAATGTGTTAAAAATTTCCTGCTGTTCACCACAGTTTTTTTTTAATTTGTTCAACATTATTTTGATTTTTTTTAGGATTTCATTGAAACTATTTTCAAACTAGCTTAAAATTCTGCAAAGAATATTTTGGTAAGAATTAGTTTCCCTTGGAATTATTATCCATATTTCCATGCAGCTTTCTCTTTGATTAATTGATTGATCAACATTTAAGAGATTTTCGTATGTAGGTAGGATTAGGTGTATTGTCAGGGCGTATCATCATTAAGTTTGCCTTATTTAATTCACTTTGAATCATCTTCTGAATCCCCTTGGAATGCTCCTTGACATGTCGTTAGATTTCCAACCAATTTTCCTTAATTAGTGTTACGGGATGTAATGTCAGCCTAGCCCCTCACTTCGGCCTATCAAGCACATAACTCATTAATTCAGCAATAATACACAATAGTAATGAAAAACCAATTCCACCTCTGCTGGGAAATTGTAATCCGTAGATTATTTGCCTATTTTTGGGACCAATTTAGATCAATTATTGTTCTTTTTCAAAGAAAAAGTTTAGTGCAATCTTCATATTTTACGATTTTTTGCGCCATGATCTTGCCGTATTACTGCACTAACGAAAATCTACACAGCCAGCGGTGTTCATAAAAAAACCTGATAATTTGGCTCTAATGTTGGCCTATGCATCTAAGATTGGGCCCATCACTAAAAATCTGCTATTTATCAATTTTATCTAGATGAACGCGTCATTGGGACGGTACTAATGGATATTTTTGGTCGCTATTGAAAATTTAATCGATTACTGAATTTATGTATGGGCCCAAATTAGGGGCATTTAGGCCGACATTACATCCATTTCCCCTAGCTTCTTTTATCGAACTATGTGTTGAAAATAGCTGGAAATGTCTATACATGGCCGTGGGGATGCAAAGAGAAAATCTACTAAGGGAATCTGTCAATGTTACTTAGGAGCTAATGCTTTATTCGGCTTGCTATTACTTGACTTGACAGTTCGTTATATGTGGTCGTGAGATGATCTATTTGGCTTTTATTTTTATTGTAAAATCATTTTGATTTATATTAGGTATGTGGATCAACCGGAAAGAAAACTTTGTCTCTTTCATCCACATCAGTTCTTACGCGGGAAGTGAAAGTGACGTCAACAATGTGGTTACGTATGAATGATAAGGAGTGAAAAAGTAGCACGATTTCACATGCCGATCCTTTGTAGATCGAGGATCATCGTCGATAGGACGAAGTTGCATCCATTTATAGACCCAATTTGAGTACAGTAAACCTATATTACATCCAGCTACCTGGTGAGTTATCATGTTATAATGGTGAGATTAAACAATTTTCAGTCGTGCCTAATCAATATCCAAATAATAAGAATATCTAACAGGGGAATATCGACTGCAGCTCAATTATTCTATAAGATACGGCATAAAATGTAAATGAAGCATTCATATTAGACCCAGGTTAGAGACATATACCCTACCATAAAATGTATCTTGGTGTAAGCATAGGATTTTCCTTCATCTCACAAGAAAATACCCTTGAAACTCTTCTAGTACGTTGGAATTACCTTTGCAATTCCTTCGAAATTCTCCTTAGAATTTCCTTGGAATTTTCAATAAAAATCCTTAAATAATATTCTTCAAATGCAATTCGTTTGAAAATATTATCAAAATTCTAATTCAAATTTTGCTCAGGAATCCTAGAATCTGAAAACCAACATGAAAAACTATCATCAGAAATTTTCCTGAGTCTGTTTATAAATCTGTTCAAAATACTGTTGGAATTATGTATTCTTAAAATTCACAAGCTACGCTTCCCGATCTCCATAAAATTTCACTGTCACTTAGCGGTTCCCTATGAGGTTCTTTTCAAAACTTTTATGAAATTGTTCTAAGAATTCATTTCAGAACTTCCTTTCTTCTTCCCAGCTATTTTTTTGGATTCAACTGAGAATTCCTTGGAATCCTGGTCAGATGTCCCCTAGGATGTTTACCAGACTTTTGTAGTTATTAATTGAGGGCTTTCGATGCCGGTACAGGCAGGTCACTTTTAAGGAGCTAGGTCACTATTTTCAAGTCAGTCACTAAAATGACACTTTTTTACATATTTGTCCATCCAACCGGGAAAGATCATATACAGGGTGCGTGACGAATTTTTGCAGTAAATGGCATATTTGAGAAAAAATACACCAGTTAGTTATTCTAGCAATGAATTTTGTGCGATTTATTTTCTTTCGCAACATATGGAAGTTGTAAGTAAATTTATTCATAAAAAATTGCCTTCCCTTTCGACGACTGTAGTTAGACGCTTCCGGAAACTGCAGTATGCACGTTTTAAAATGTTTCGATCCATAGATGTCATCACTGCCTTGATTTTAGCTTTTAGCGACTTAAGTGTGGTGTGAGGGGTTCTATTGGTATCCCGTTGGACGACGCCCTATACAAAATAATCCAACGGATTGATATCGGGACTGCTTGGGGGCCAAATTTCTTCCTCCCAAATTTACGAAATATTTTCCGTAAGCCATTTCTGTGCTTTATTAGCAGTATGAGCAGGTGCTCCGTCTTATCACTTTCCCAAGCCTTTTTTAATATTATACACTGTTCTTTCAGAAACATTTACCGACCGAATTATTTCTTTCATGCATACTCCGGCGCGCAACAAAGCGACAACGGCTGACAGATTGCTCTCTTGTTTCGACATCTTTACGTTTACTCAACATTGTTTGTTTAAATCTTACACCTAACAGTATAAGCTATCCAGTGCTGCCAAATATATCTAAATCATGATGCACAAGCATGAGAAATTACTATTTGAAATTTACTGCAAAAATTCGTCACGCACCCTGTATACTCATTCCAAGTAACAATTTTGGTTTTATCATAGTATTGTAGGCCCTAATTTGGTCTTGAAGAATCTTTCAAATTTTTATAAAACATGCAATGTTACTTGGAATCAATTTATAGCTTACAGAGTAAATTTTTATAATTTCTTTTGGTGTTTGGTGGTAAAAAAAATAAAGAGCTGAACTCTAGGCATTTTGGAAAACCGAATAAACCAAACCAATGATATTAGTTATGGGGTTACACGAAGGTTTGCCCATTCTTCATTAAGTCGAACGATCGTTCAATCTGCAGAACTTCAGGTATTCGGGATTATTTGGACAATCCAACCAATTTTTTAAAACTATTAATAGTTTTAAATTATATTATGAGTCTCCATGAAGTACAAATTCTGAGTGGACATCGAAAAAAAATTGATTAACATATAAAATATCTCCAGGGGGTAACCCCGGCGTAGTGGTTAGCATCCATGCCTCTAACGTCAAAGTCACGAGTTCAAATCTCACCCCATAAGAATGTTAAAGTGACTATAGTAGCCAAAAAATCTCCAGGGCAATTCGGAGAGTGATAAATATTTTGGTAACACATCTTTGTATTCTACAAAATGTTGTTTGGCTTAGAAAGCTTCAATATTGAAACTCCAGGAAGATTTGAAGATCTTTTAATACCGCGTTTCTCGCTCAGGTCTCTTGTATAGATACATGCGTTTACCTACAATGAGACTATTTGATTTTGTACGAATTCATGATTCCATGAGATTTCTGAAGATCATGAACATGTTAATGTAAATCTCATCTCATTTTTTTACAAAGTAGAGGTATTCTAGAGCTGCTCAGAGATTCGGAAATATTTCAAGTCCAAGACCCGCCGCCGGGATGTTCTGAGGCATAACATCTCTGATCACACCAGGGGAAGTAAGGCCGTTGGTCCCCGGTTCATGAGTTGATGGGTCGATAGGTAGGGTCCAGGTGTGGGAGCTGCCTCCCTGGCGTCGGTAGCATTGGTGCTCAGCACGGAAAACAAGATCGACGGAAAACAAATCAAGGAAAGAAAAAGTCCAAGACCGTACAAGATTTTGTTAAATGATTCTAGTGAATATTCTCAACAACTCCTAAACATCAGACACGTGTTTTTTTTTATAAATGTTTGCAATCTTCGATGACAATGATGATTTTTTTTTAAATATTCGTTTTTTTTCAACCTGGCAAGCTATTCAAATGTGATGCTTTCTGCTGTTGAACATGATTAGTTCTTTTGGGTTGTACTGATTTGAAATCATAGATATTTTTGATTTATAGGAAAGCTTCCTTCTTTTAAACATGAGTAGTTCTTTCGAGTTGTAATATTCGGCAATTGAGTCATAATAGACGCGAAATTCAGCTCAATCAAATGTACTTTCAAACTTTTCAGTCTGGAAGCACTTAATTTTACATGACATAATGAGAGAGAGAAGGATTAGTATTTTCCATTTAATTCCACTACTTTATTTGCTTATCCTTGACAGATACGCGTATTTCGTCTACAATGTGCAGACTTCTTCAGTGTCTTGTACTAATACTCGACTGTCGAGTATTAGTACAAGACACTGAAGAAGTCTGCACATTGTAGACGAAATACGCGTATCTGTCAAGGATAAGCAAATAAAGTAGTGAAATTAAATGGAAAATACTAATCCTTCTCTCTCTCATTATACAGGTATTCCACTAAGACGCCCACATTCATCAGGATTTACATGACATGTTTGTTTACGTCTCATCCTTTATGTCAAAGATGGATTCCGTCACGTGTAAGATTAGGTATTTCTAAGTGTGTATCGTACATCTCTATATGGACTGAGCTGCTTCCTAACACAACTTACGGATCAGTTTTCAGTGCATTTTTTTTGAAAATGAAATACTTTTAAATACTTTGCTATATCCCGATTTTTTTTACAAAATATACTTGCAATCCTCTCATAGTGAAGTTTCCTTGGGATCGAGCTTGAGATACTGAAGTATGCAACCAAAAGTTGTTGCAGAAGTTCAGAAAAACGTGACCTGTGAAAATTTGGGCGAAAATCAAGTTTATCTCAGAAAAAACACGAAGTGCTACAAATGACTCTAGTTACTTGTCCAAACCAGTTTCACTGAACGAAGAATCTTTCATTCTTTGAACACTTTGTGGGAATTTCTCGGGGAATTTACTTTCAGTTCAGGACTTCAAAATTATTCGGACGTTTATTGTATTTAATCTTACTGAAAACAGTAAAGTTCAATATTTATTTAATTAAAGTAAATGCTACTCACTTTGTTAAATATATGTTATTCAGTTTTTGACATTTGTCATACAAATACGAAACTGAGTCAAAGTTGTTGCTCACTTTAGAGTAAAGTCATTCGAGCATGTATCAAAAAACAAATTTGTTTACATTTTGTTCATAGTCCCTTTTCAAATGTTACGCGAGAGTTCTTCTGTTCTCCACGGGGACCAACTTTGATTTTCCAATATTCAATGTATTCTTTGATAATTGCATACATGTGAAATCGGAGACAGTTACTCCGAATCACCCTGTATACACAATTTTGACAATTCACGCTGAACCTTGCATTAGGTCCTAAGTAACATTGACAGATTCTCGATCAATGTTATTTAGGACCAGTGGCGTCGCGTAACCTCACCTCACCAACTTTCAAAACCAGATTTAATGCCATATTCATTCTCGAATCGGTTGAAAAATACACTTAATCTTCTAGTTTACTCGATATCTATCCATTCCAAGCAATATTTTGTTAATTGTATGTTTTGAGAGTTGGACCTAATCCAAAGTTCAGCTTGAATATTGTTAACAAAACTGCTGCCGGTATAGAAACTTCTAGCAGTTTCTACCAAAAACTGCACATTTAGCCTCTACTGTATACAGGGGAAATGGTTCTAATGTGGGCCTATGAATCTAATCGCCTGTTCTTCTATTGTGCTTAGAACCATCGGACGCATCTGGACAATACAAATAGAAATTTTTGATTTGAAAAATTGGTAAACAATGCTTTTCTTCGAAATGTATGTAGGAGCCCAATATTAGGGACACTTATACCGACTTTAGGTACATTAACCCTACGTACCAATATTACTGCAGCAGTTGTATGTATTCCACCACACAACGACGACGCCGACACCGGGATCACATATAGCGCTACATGTGCGCTTGCCTTGGCTCGGTGGCGGTGTGGTGCTGGGTAAACACATAGAGCAGCGGGGTTTAGCTAGTCCATTGCCTCGAAGCATTCACGTGCTTTTACGTAACGGACTCACCAACACCTTTTTGTGGGGTAGCACTTAGTGCGTTGTGAAGTGGTGTGCACTAACCAACACAGTGTTGAACTCCTTCCGAGGCCCGACCGACCCAGCTCGCCTTCGTTAACCCATATCAGTAGTACGCGCGCTTTCGTTGATCACACCGTAGCAGTAGCCAGATACTCGAGAGGCACTGCCCACCCATTGCTCTTAGAGGTATCGTCACCATACATACCTAATAAGAGGAAGTGGCCGTTGCAACTGGTTAGTTTGAATCTTGCTGCCGATAAGACTGGACGGAATCCGTGGTTCGTCCCCTCCCAATATATCACTGCAACAGCATTCAGTTGCATTGGGCTACAGAAGAACCACCAGCATCACACAACGAAGCATACATCCCAAACTAAAGTTGATACAAGGAAAAGAAGAGTCTGCTTTTTTATTACCTGATTAGTGTAGGAAGGATTTAAGTGTCTGCACGTTTTGTAACGATTTTTTTTTTATGAAAAAAGTGCAGGAATGTTGTCTTCCTGGCGAAGAATTAGTGATATAATTGCTCTGCTCTTAGAAAGCTAACGCGGTTAGCTTGAACCAGTGATCGAAAAATTCCTACTGCCTCTTTTTCCCTCCGTGCAAGAGCGTTGGTAGTGGGAAAGTACACACAGACATACAACGAATCGACGAAGAAGAGTGAACGTTTTCTGAATATAAATTTTGTAGCGCTGTTGCTAAGCGAAAAACCTGACTGCACGCGGTAGTCAGTCGTGCTAAAACAGCTGTTCGACCATATAAAGAGATACGGCTTGAGGCAGGGCCGCCGTATGAGAAGTTTTAAATTCGAAAAAAAGAAGCGCGTGTAGACGTACAAGTCGAAGAGAAGGTCTCGTTCGAAGCAAAAAAAGTGCATTCAGTATATAACACTGAAAAAGGCCACGTGCGATTTCGTATCGAAATAAGGAGAGGAATTTGGTGTGCGCGATACACACGGAAAAAGAAGGCTTGGTGCTATCAAAAGCATAACTGATTGTGATATTAGTGTGTATTGGTGCTCTCTCCACTAAAAAAAATAAAACAACCCTTGAAGGGCGGTTTTCGTTATCTTGCGAAATAGAGTTCCGGCCACAGTTGTGCAAGTGTGGTTATTGCTAGTCTGCCTAGGACCGTACAATATCCCCGTGTGAAAAGGCTTCAAAATTGATCCCAACATGGCACTGGAACAGAATGCCGCCACCGTCCGCGTCAGGGGAGACGTCCTGGAGGACTTTGTATTGATCTTCAGAGAGCTGCTTTCAAAGGTAATCATTTGTGCCGTTTTGTCCGCACTAACAAACAATGGGTTTTTTTGTGTGTGTGGTGTATTGTATTGGGGATTTTTTGGACGCGAAACAAGTTTCGCTGGAAATTAGTCATCCAAGCGTGCGTCGACCGCTTGAAAGCGAGCGAACTAGCGAGCGCTGGTTGCTTTGATGATATCATTACTTGGGCATTAGTCAGTTCCGGTTTTCCGGAGAACAGTAATTTCGATTTCGAAAATCGGTTTTATGAATGGGCAATTGAATTGAATTGAGTCACTTTGTTTCAGTTTGCAAACAATCGCGTGCGGTGTTGAGGGGGAGTAATGCTAGATTATGCCATCTAAACCGGTTTGGGGAATGGGTAGATTTACCCGGAATCAAGGCTTTTTTGTTATCTTGCCGCAGATAAACTAGAAGTAGGCGAGAAGGCGACGACGAAAAGAGATGCCTGATAAGTACCATCCAAGGTGGATTAACCAGATTTTTCGATTTACCCAAGATTACCTATTTTACGGGATTATAACCAAAAATATGTCGGATCAGCTTTGAGTTGCAATTTTCGATGGAAATCTTTTTAACTCAACAGGAAGCGTCTACCTGTTCGTTGATTAAGATTTGTTTGTTTTGAGGCTTGGTTCTACCTAACCTTCTTAACCGACTTGATTGGTTTTTGAGGTTTCAGAAGAACCATCCTGGAAAATATTTTAATGGAATTCTGAAAACGTTTGTAGGTGGTTGTAAATCCGATACCTAGGATTTTTGGTCATGCTTTGTCCGTGAAGAACATATCTTTGACTCATCTTTGAATTTTTCTGGACTTGCTTTAGCTTGAAGTCCACCGACAAATTGTCTTAAATACTTTCAAGATCTATGAACATGGCTTTCGTTGGCATCCCTTCAGTTTTTCTAAAGGTTGATGGGCATGTCCAAAAGAATTTGGAGGCCCTGACGACTTTAATTTATAATTATCTTGATATGCCAATCAGGACCTTCGAAGATAGATGCCCTACAAACTACTGCCCATGTATTTGAAGCCTTCTGATAAAACCTGTACACAGGCCTTTAAGGATTGTCATTGAATACTTATACCCTAGTCGCTCACTTGTGGCAGAACGGTTGTGGAACCTTGTGTGTGACTTATTTCAGTTACAACCAAGTTGCTTCAACTGAGTTCGTGATCCAGATTCACATCTTGAGATATTTAAGGACATGTCTAGAGGTTAAGCCTTTGAATATCTCAAGATTTGTTCTTCAAAATCGTTTAAACTCGTCTTTGTAGACTTCTGAACTTGTTTTAAAAATTCCCGAACGTGCCCTTGGTGTTTCTCATTGTATGATTTTTTTTGGCCATGCTCTTCATTAAAGATTTGGTTAATGGTTTTTGGAAGTTTGTCACTAAAATCATTTGGGCCTGTTTTACAACACTTTTAGATCCAGTCTGACACACCAGTCTTTTAGGTATTCTAAACTTGCCTTTGAGCAGTTACATGCTAAATGACGAATCGGGAAAACTCGACCTCCTTCGATTTGCATGAAACTTTGCATAATTGTTTGTTATGGGCATTTGCCAAAAATTTCGCTAAAATTTTCAATCGAACTGACGTCTGCGACAAAATTGAAGCGAAAAATTATGATTTTCTGGGAAAAATATACAAGGAAATGTTTCTAGTAATTTCCAGTTAAAATTCAACATCAATATTTAACACCGAAATATCTCAAAATTTCCTCGTCCAATTTTTATAATTTTAAAAAAAATCTCAATTTTTGAAATATTTAATATTACGAACTCTTGAAAACTGCCGAAAATCGTAGAACAAGAACTTTTGGTCTAAATTTTAAATTTTTTGTTATAACGTTTTTTCATGCAATGTATACTCAGACAACAATATTTGAGACACTTTGAATCATTTTCTGTGAAAATATACACAAGAAAAGTGTATTAACAAAAAGTTCTAAAATTTGACCAAACGTTCTTGTTCTACGATTTTTGTCAGTTTTCAAGAGTGCATGGTTTTGAAAATTTTAAAAGCTTGCACTTTTCATAAGCTTTTTTCTGAAAATAAAAATTTTGAAAATTCGGCAGAGATATTTTGAAAAATTTGCGGTTTTAACTTTTTTTCGTAAAAGTAATAAATAATATTTGTTGTGTATTTTTCACAGAAAGGCATTATTTTCCTCTAAAACTTTGTCTCAGACGTCATTTCGATAAGAAATGCCATTTCCGTGCTATAATTTTTATAATACGATATCCAACATGACCGAATTTTGGCAAAAATATGAATCATTGCCCATAACAAAAATTACGTTAAGTTTCATACACATCGGAGAAGGTCGATTCAAAAACTTTGCCTGGAACTGCTCATTTGTAGATCTCTGAACATGCTGTCTTTTGAACTTTGCCTTGAGACCTGAATTTGTCATTTAAAACATCTGAACCAGTGTTTGGAGTCTCTTAGACTTGCATTTTGCAGGCTGTTTGTTAAGTTTGCCGTAAACATCCTCTGACTTTTACGCTTGTCTGTGAAGTCATCTGAACATACCTTTATTGTAGATTTCTCCGCATGCTGGAAATTAAGAATCTTTGATCGTTGCGAGAAGTCCTATAGATTTTTCTTTAAAATCTCTTAGGTTGACTTTTGAAGATCCTTGGACTTGCTATTGAACACTGGCTGATCTTGGAAGCCCTCTGAACTTGCTCAAGAAGTCCTCTGAGAATCCGAACCAGCCTTGTATTACATAAGTTTAGAGTCACCATTTTAGATCTCTGGACTCTGGAAAAGTCATAACTTTGTCTAGACTTATCTTTCAAATCTGCTAAGCGTGCCTTTGAAGATTCTGGGGTTTGTTTTTAACAACTTCTGCGCTGATATTTGAAGCCCTCTAAGGTTGTCCTAATTGTTGATCCCTGAACATTCTAGTCATTGAAGATCCTTAAACTTTCCTTGAAGTCATAAGGATTTGGGTTTAAAGTCATTTGGACATAGTTTTCAAGTCCCTGGATTGGCCATTTATAATATCTGAAAAAAAAAAATAGTTCTTATAGGTCGTTTCTTAAAGTCTTCTGAACTTGTGTTTAAAAACTTCTCACTGTACTTAAAGTTTCTTGAACTCGCTTTCGACGACTTCGGGGGTTTTTTTTCGAAGCCAGCTGAACTTGCCCTCATTGTGGATTTCTTGACATTCTTTTAATGACCGTCGAACTTGCTCTTCAACGCTTCTGTATTTGTCATTTATAATATCTGACCATGTCTTTGTGAACATTTCGACTCGTTGTAGGCCTCCGGACTTGTCCTCTGGTTAGGCGCCTGTACATCTTAAGCCTAGTGCTTGGAGTTTCTTAGACTTGGTTTAAGTAACTTCTGCTTGCCTTATAGCCCTCTTATTATAGATTATGAGGCATGCTTTTGATGAACTTGTCCTTGAAGATTTATGAACTTGCTATTTATAATATCTGAAATTGTTTTTGAAGTCGTTGACGTACTCTTAGTCCTCTTATGCCCTTAAGTATCTTAAATCTAGGCCCTGAAGACCTTAGGACTTACTCTAAAAGACTTTTGCGATTGCTTTTGTTTATGAATCCTATGAACGTGCCTTGAAGTTTTCTAGACACTATTTAGTTCTCAACGTTCTCTGTACTAGATTTGGAGTACCTTTGGATTTTCTCTAAAAAATCTCTGAGTCTTTTCTAATATAGATCTTATAAGCATTACATTAGTCGTATATCTGCTCTATAAGGCAAAGAGGCCAAACATAGTGCGTTGGTTAATTACTTTGAAATCCATCAAAGTCTTCGGGTCTTGAAAATTAGGAACAGGGATGATTCCAAAAATATAAATTCGGTGTATTTTATTTAAAAGTCCTCCTAACATCTGTAAGCTTTCCGGAAAGGATCTATGAAAAATTGACCGACTCCCATGACGCCCCTGATTGTATCTCTATCCGCTGCTGCTCCAGTTACATTGTACAAACGGTCCACTTGTCACCATCAATTCAATTACAGCAACTTGAACAGCTTCAATCTCAATGGTCAACCCCAACCGCTGCTGTCAGTCGTCATGCTATAAATATACACCTTCTTCCTTCAAATAGGCACGAAGCCGTTTCTCTAATTAAAAAGTCCCATTATCCCAGTTCTCCCTCATCCCATTCATGCAATCACCGGACTTCAATCTAAATAACAGCACAGCGTAGTAAGTACTTGGTAGATACTGCTCGCTCGTATTCCACTTCAAACCGGAAGCAGTTGACTCGCCGTTCTGTTTACTACTGCGAACTGCGAATCCTTAGTAAAGCCCTTCCCACTTATGCAGCCCTCTTGCCAAAGGCCAAGAAGAAGAAAAAATGCGGAAAGAGGTTAAAATGCCAAATCCCTCAAGGACACGTTGGCACGTGCTCCAATTATTTCATTTCTCCGCTGGATAGGAATGTCCTGAAATGATCCTGTAGTTCGTTGTCATAAACAACAAAAGTTGAATCGCAGGCGGCGCTGACGTCGCCCGTCGCGACGGCAACCATTGTTTATACCTCATTTAACTCTAAGCAACAGAAGGTCAGAGGTTACTATTTGCATACCTTCAGGGGGAGGATGGGGAGGGGGAGAGAATGCGCAGCTCATAAAAAACTAATGCCAATGTCGGAGGACGCCCGTAGGCACGTAGATGATGAACAATTTTTAATGAACACCTTACCACCCATCCATCCGGAAGAGCTGTTCCGACAGGTGGCTAATCGGACGTTATGCCGAGCACTATTTATAGGTTTTGATCTTTCCGAACACCAGTATGACCGATTGGTGCGCAAAACTTTGTCGTTTTGCACTTCCATCGAAACGTTAATTACACTCTCTATGGTCGTGCACAGAGAGCAAGCGGTAAAAGTTATGATTAGCACACGCGAGCTGCTACTGTCTCTATATAGCAATGTACATTGATACCTGCACACGCCGCGAGGGAGAGAGAAGAGCGGATCAAGTCGTCGGCACGGTCGCCATATAGATATAG